TTTTTTTTTTTTTTTTTTTTTTTTTTTTTTTTTTTTTTTTTTTTTTTTTTTTTTTTGTTCCCTTTCCTTAAATTCTTTATTTAATGATAAAATAATTTAAAAAAATTTTAAATTTAGTACGATATTTTTTTATCTGAAAAATTTTCATTACATAAATATAATTTGTAGTAAGTATAATAAATTAAAAGTTAATAAAAATTGTAAAAACATAAAATGCATTTTATTATTTTTTTTTTTTAAATATGTTAAAATATTTAAAAACTGTTCTTTACAAATGAATATATTATTCAAAAATACATAAATAAAACAATAAAAATTTATACACATAAAATAATGAAAAATCCAAATAAACAACTTAATGTGAAAAAATTACAACACAAAAATTATTTAAATTGATTTATTTTTGTCTTATATATAATCTATATAAATATGTGGAATTTTTTTATTAAAATTATTTTATATATTTCAAAAAAAAAAAAAAAATATATATATATTTACTTAAGCATATAGAATTATACAGATTTATATTTTATGTGTATCCACAAATTAATATTAAACATATATTAATTATTGAAAATGTTAAAATTAAATTATTTAATAATAGAATATATGCATGAATTACACAATAATATTTAATAATATAACATTTTTAAATAGGAAAACAAAAGATAAATTATGAAATAAAAATAATAAATAAATTATAATATAGCAATTTAATAAAAATAACAATTTTATAATGCAGAATATTTGTAACAAAAAAAAAAAAAAAAAAAAAAAAAAAAAAATCTAACAAAATCTATAATTGTTTATATATGTATATAATTATTTCATCAGATATTTATGTTTATTTTTTTTTTACAACTCATGAAAATCATTTTTTATTTCAAAAATAATTTGATTGTATAAAAATTTTTTTTTAATATAACAATCTTAATTTTAGCTAATTGAATAAATTTACTTTATTTAAAATATACTTTTGTGTAATATTATTTTGCTAAGTTTCTTTTTGATAAATATCAAACAATTAATATTAATATTATTCTTATTATTATTCTCATTTTTTTTTTTTTTTTTTTTTTTCCATATTTAGTTTGTTTATTTGCTCATACAAAAAGAATATAATTAATTATATCTATAACTAGCTAAAATGTTAGTAATACTATTTCTGATATATGCATATAAATAAAATTATGTAATACAAATAATTACTTGATTTTTTTTTTTTTTTTTTTTTTATATATTTCAAGAGGGACTATAAATAATTATTAAAATAATCATAATTATGTTGTTTTAATTTAAATAATATGCATTAAGTATATTATTATTTTTTATAAAATTTTATAATAAGGAATACTTTCTTTTGATTCATTATTATTAACAAAATAATTTTCTTCATTTTGATTTCTTTTTATTTGTCTTTCAGATTCTTCACCATTTAAAAAAGTAATATTGTCTAATATGTTTTTATTATTTTTATTCATATTCTTCCAAAAACAAAAAGTAATAAAAAAAGTATTTTTTCTTTTTACTAAATCTTTCATAATGGAGCATATCTCTAGTGACATATTTTTAAATTTGCTGTTTTCTTTTTCTGACTTATTGTAACAATAATCAGAATAAGAAAATTCTTCTACAAGATTTTCTTTGTCGTTATTTTTTAAATACTCTATATCACAACTAGGATGAAATAATATTAAATTATTATTTAAAATATAAATTTTGCACACATCTTTACAACTAAAAAAAAGGAATTCAATTAAACTATTATATCCAAAATATAACGGGTTTATGGTTTCTTTATATTTTCTGAAAAATTTTTCTCTAAATAAACAAAGAAAAATTCTCTTTTTATAACTATTTTTTAGTAAACGTTCTATTTTTACTTTAGCATCTTCTATATTTTTGATTGGAATATAAAACTTCTCTTCATTACTCTTAGAAGGATCTTCATTATTTTTAAAAAAGAAATCATCATTTTTAAAAAAATATTCATCGTTTTTTAAATAATTTTCATAAATTTTTAAAAAATCCTCGTCATTTTTTAAATAATTTTTTTCTTCTTTGTAAAAATCTTCATAATTTTGTTTTTTCAACAAGCTGTTTATTTCAAAACTGATTTCATCAAATATAAATTCATTTAAAGAATAATTAAATTTACCCAGATTATCATTTTTGGTATTTTCGGTAGGAAAGTTATTTGAAAAATAATTTGTATTTTTATCATTTTCAAAAATTGGTAATTGAGTGTTACTCCAATCTAAATTATCTTCATTATTTCTAAAGTAAAAAATGGATGATACGATATTCTTAGCAGCACATGAAGGCTTTATTAATTGACCTTCTTCATGCATTAACCCATTATATAAACATAACTGAATTATATGAGCAATTTTACCTAATGAATAATCTTTCAAAAAATAAAAATTTTTTTTTTTTAAAAAATTTGCAACTTCATATATATCATTATCAAATTCCCATGGAATTTTTGCATCCACCTTTTTTTCTTCATTTTGTAAATTACTTCTTAAATTAAAATTACTTAAATCATTTTCTAAATTTTTTTCATGATTACTGTTCGTTGAACATTTTTTTATATCATTTAATTCTTCCTTAAGTAGAATGTTTTCACTAATATTTTCGTGATTTTTTGAAATATCTTCTTGACTTAATCTTATACCACTTTCTTTCTCTTCTAAGAAAAAATTATAGTAATTTAAAAATTTTTTTTCAAAATTTTCTTTATAGTCATTATTACAATGAGAAAAATAAGAAAAATTTTTATTTTCCATATCAAATAAACAATATTTATTTGAAATGTCATTTTCCATATCATCATTAATAGAACAATCATATAAATTACAAAGGTCTCCATTCTTTGAATTTATTGAAAATATGTATTTCTTTTTATTCAAATATTTAACAAAATCAATTAAAAAGTATATATGTGAATTACTTTTGTTTGATTTACATATATCTAAAAAATATGTAATCATTTTTTTCCACATTTTTTTTGGGTAGGAATTTCTAAAACTTCTCGTTTTTACCCATCCAGAAAACCATTTAGGTGTTTCTCGTAGAAGAACAAAAATATTATTTTTTTTTGATCTTACAACTATATATTGATTATGTAACGATGCGTATATATTTAAGAAATTGTATTTGATTTCAAAATTTTCATTAAAACACTTTAATCTCTGCTTAATTTTTCTGTAAGTTGGTTTAATTTGATCCTTATATAATGTTAGTAGGGTCATATGTAAAATAAATTTTACTTCATTAGTGATTTCTCTTGGATTTATAAAAAATTTTGTTTGATTAATAGCAAGAAATTTTTTTATCTCCTGATTTTCTTTATCATAATAATAGTTATCTTCATCACTAGAATAAATTATACTTTTTTGTGTTATATCGACTGTATCCGTTAATTCTTCTCTGCATACTACATTTATATCATCATTATTTTCTTTATCTTGATATGTTTTATACTTATTATGTCTTGTTTTATTTATTTTTTCTCCTTTATATTCTTTGTTATTATCTATGAACTTTTCTTCTTCATTTACATCTTTATATATTTCTTTGTTTTCTTCATATTTTATTTCCAACTCATCATTAACTAAGTTTTCTCTCTGAATATATATATAATCAATATTTTTATTGTCCACTTTATTATAATTTTTCAAATTATTTTTATTTCTTTCTATAAAAAATGTTTCATTCATATTTTTTTTACTGTTTTTTTTTTTTTCTGTTAAATGGCTTAAAGTATTTGTCATACTGCAATTATTTTGTTTATATTTTACTTCATTAATAAATTTATTTAAACTTATTTCATTATTTACGATATCTAATTTTTTTTTATCATAATTTAAATATTCTTCATTTGTTATATGATTACTAATTTCTTTATCATTCTTTTCAGTAATAGCGCTATTTTCCATATAATTTTTTGTTTCTTCATTTATTTTTTGTGATTTTATTTTATCTGACATTTTAAATGCAGGATACTTAAGAGGTTCATAATATGAATAATTTTCTTCCTTTTTTTTTTTTTTTTGATCTTTTATGCTTTTCTTATATAATATGTTTACGTTTTTATTAAGATTCAAAAAATTCTTTGAATTTAGATCTCCCCTGTTATGGAGATAGTTTTTTTTCTTTCCTAATCCTATGCCATTATGTATATAAAAAACATTATTGTAATTATGATTTTGTTGTTCTATTGTAGTAGAAATATCTTTTTTATCATAAAAACCATTTTCTTTTGTACAACTACTACTACAATTAAAATATAAATTTCTTCTTTTGTGATTTGCTTCTTTTATATTTTTTGTTAAAGAATCCATTTTAAATGTAAATCAAAAAGTGAAATCATTTTATAAAAAAATAAAAAAATAAAATATAAATGAAGAAGTGAAGTGTTGAATAAAGAAAATAAATAATAGGAAACAAAAAAAGGATTATATAAGGATTTCATATAACAATAATGATAGGAAAAAAAAAAGGAAAAAAAGAAATGTATGAAGTAATAAAGTTTCTTTTCATCTGATAGTAGAACAGATAAACATATATATATATTTTTTTTTTCTTTTTCTTCTTTCTTTTATCATTTTCTTCTTGTTCTTCTGTTGCTTCTTTTTCCTTTTTTTTTTTTTTTTTTTTTTTATTTTTTTTTTTTTTTTTTTTTTTTTTTTTTTTTTTTTTTTTTTTTTTTTTTTTTTTTTTTTTTTTTTTTTTTTTTTTTTTTTTTTTTTTTTTTTTTTTTTTTTTTTTATTTTTTTTTTTTTTTTTTTTTTTTTTTTCAATGTAAAACTTTATTTTTTTAAGCTTTAAAAAAAAGTCTCTTTTTTTTTTTTTTTTTTTTTTTTTTTTTTTTTTTTTTTTTTTTTTTTTTTTTTTTTTTTTTTTTTTATTTTTTTTTTTTTTTTTTTTTTTTTTTTCAATGTAAAACTTTATTTTTTTAAGCTTTAAAAAAAAGTATTTCATCTTTTATTTTTCGTTTTATCCTTTTTTACTTTTTTTTTCTTCTTTTATCGTTCTTTTTCATTTTTACTTTTCTATTTTTCATTTATTTTTACTTTTTTTTTTTTATTATATATTTTGTAAGAACATTATACTTATTATACTCAATAATGGCATAATATATGCACATTTTTTTTATACATTTTTGTACATACGAAATTGAATATTTTTCTTCAAATTAACTATTGTGAAACTTATTACATGTTTTATTTTCTAAAACATCAAAATATAATCTGTGTTAAAAATTTATCTTCAAAAAAAAAAAAAAAAAAATTCGTAATTATATTTATATATAAACAAAAATAATATAGTAATGCTATTATTCAAATTTTTATTTATTTTAATTTTTGCTGTATACAAGTTATTTGAAAAAATATATTTTTTTTTTTGTGTCTTATTTTTTTTCAAAAAGATAAATTTTTATGTTTCTTAATTTAAATCTATTTTTTTTTTCCATTCATTCTAAAAGGATTATTTTAAAAAAAAAAAATAAAATAATTAATATTGGCACAAATTTAAAAAAGTATTTATTTTACTACATAATTAAAAAAAAAAAAATAGAGGAAAAAATTACGAAAATTTCTAGTAATATTTTGCTTGTGGGAATTTTTTTCTTATTTCTTAATTACATTTTAATTCATTAAAAAAAAAAAATATAAAAAGGTTTTTAAATAAAAAACGTTTATTTAATTTGTAATTTTTTTTTTTAAATCACTTAATTTATAAGAAATTATATTTAATTTTATTTTTTTGCATATTTTTAAATATTCATAGGAATATTAAAATTAATATTTTATAAATATAAAATTTTAGAATTTCATTTATAAGAACCGACTTAATTATATGTTAATATCATAAATATTAATTAAAATTCTTTTTTTTACAATTATTAAAAAAAAGAAAGATAAAAAATAAATGAAAAAAATATACATTCAAAATCCCTTAATATGTAAGCAAATAAATAATCTTTTTTTTTTTTTTTTTTTTTTTTTATAATGGTTTACATTTGTTCATTAAATACTTAAGTTGTGCTAAATTTTGTTCTTTAAATTGCTCATTCAGCTTTATTACAAAATAAAATATTTATATGTTATCATTATAAAAACAATTAACTTTCACAAGGAAAATAAAATATTTAAATATTAATAATATTATTCAACTTCTAAAAGATAAAATTTTTTTTGTAATATAGGTTAAAAAAATATCGTTAAAGTTCTTTAATTAAATACATATATAATTCCTACATATAACAATCTTAAGCAAAATTGTATATCATTCAATTTTATTTGATCTAATTTTTAAAATTATTATATATCATAAATGAAATTATAAAACATTTTATTTTTAGCTACTAGTTTCATTAGAGAATCTTTTTAAAAAAAAATTATAATTTTAAATAAGTTTTAAGAATAAATTTAAATGCCTTTAGAGAAATGTATTATCTAAAGAGCATTTTTTTTTTTTTTTTTTTTATTCTGATAATGTTTTGAGTCAGTATTATTTTTACATTATATTTTATTTATTAATTAAGAAAAAAGAAAATACTTAGAAGTTACTTCCCAAAAGGTGATAATAATAATAAATGGATGTTATCTTTTAAGTAATTCTCATAAAAACTTGGTTATATAATCTCATTATCTATCCATTAAAATGTAAATGAAATATTCCATATATTTTAAAAAAAAAAAAATAATTTATTTTAAGAATGTTTTCATTTTTACAGATTCCTTAAAATGAGTTTTTTTTTTTTTTTTTTTTTTTAATATATATATATATGAATAAAAAATATAATTTTTTCTTCATGCTTTAATAAAATTCATTTACAAGGAATATTATTTGGAACTATAATTTTTTTTGTTTTTAAATGAACTTTTAAATAATTATGTGTTGTTATAAAAAACTATAATTTATCTATACAAAAAAAAAAAGAAAAAAATGGGTGTTTTTAAAAAAAATAGAACGAAACAACATAACTGTATGGGAAGAAGTTTAATGCGTAATAAATTGACGAAAAAAGAAATTTCTGAAAATATTCTTTATTCAAAGATTGGATGTGATCAAGAAAAAAATCTAAGTAAAAAATGCTCTATTTTAAATAAAGAATCAGTAGATGATTACTTAGATAATCAGTTGATTATCAATAATATTGAAGTTACTAAAGTGTTTGTTCAAAAAAATGAAATTAAAGAAAAAAGAAATTTTTTAAATGAAAATAAAAATGTAAATGTTCAACATATTGTTTTACCTATTCCTGGAAGAGCTCTATTTTTAAGTAGAGAAGATAAAATCAATTTAATTATTAATGAAAGAGAAAACACAAATATAAAAAAGAAAAAAAAAAAAAATGTAAAAAAAATTACTTTTTTAATGAGTGGAAAGAACATTGTACCAATTAATGTGTGCATCCCAAAAAAAGAAGAATCAAAAAAACAAAAAATAAAAAGTTTAAAAAAAAGTTTGAAATATAAGAGAAATGAAGAAAAAAAAATTAAAAATAATAATTATTCAGTGGAAAATCATAACGATATTCTAGAAGAAAATGAAAATAAGAGAGAAACATATGAAAATGAAGAAATTGAATCAGAAAATGAAAAAGATATAGATGAAAATGAAGAAATTGAATCAGAAAATGAAAAAGATATAGATGATAATGAAGAAATTGAATCAGAAAATGAAAAAGATATGAATGATAATGAAGAAATCGAATCAGAAAATGAATCATGGAATAAAATAATAGAAGATGAAAATGAAAAGAATGAACTAAGATATGTACAAAGTGAAGGAGGAATAGAAAAAAAAAAATATGATAATGAAATAAGTGGTGAATATATATGCGGAAATTTTTTAAATAAAAAATCAGAACATGGGGAATATAAAGATGAAGATAGTAATTTATTGAATAATTCGGACATGAATAAAAATAATTTAAGTTATGATTTTAAATATGTTTATATGTATGAAGAGTTAGGAAAAAAATATAGAGAAAATAACTCGAAAACTAATTTAAGTAAAGAAAATGTGGAGAAGTATGAAATGGAATATTTTGTAGAATGGAGAAAACTATTAAGTGATATTGAGGAAAGAGAAGGATATATCGTAACTCCTTATGAGAAAAATATTGAATATTGGAAACAACTATGGAGGGTTATAGAAAAAAGTCATGTTTTATTTTATATTATTGATGCTAGAAATCCTTTATTTTTTTATTGTAAAGGATTAGAATACTATGTAAAGAAAGTAGATTATAGAAAAAAAATTATTATAATCTTAAATAAAGCTGATTTTTTAAATTTTGAACAAAGAAAAATATGGGCAAATTATTTTGAGGAAAGAAATGTTCAATTTGTTTTTTTTTCTGCATTAAGAGAGTTATATCATCAAAATAAAATAGTGATTGAAAATTATTCTGAGATAGATTATAATAAAGACAAGAATAAACATGATACTATATTCAAAAGAGAAAATCCTATTGAAAACGATAACTACATTGAAAATATTAAAACAAATATTGAAGATAATAATATATCAAAAAATAAAAAAAAAGATGAAAATATTAATGATGATAAAAAAAATATAATTAATGTAGGTTTTGGTAATTTAAGTTATGAAACAAAAAAAAATGACAATACAGATATATTAAGTGTAGATGATTTAATAAATTTAATTAAAAAAACTAAATTAGAAATCATAAATTTATATCATGAAATTGAAATGGGAACATTTACGACACCTAATTATATGGTTGGTTTTATTGGATATCCTAATGTAGGAAAAAGTTCAATTATAAATTGTTTAATTGGTGAAAAAAAAGTTAGTGTAAGTCGTCAACCAGGAAAAACAAAACATTTTCAAACAATTTTTCTAAAAAATTTGCATTTTTCATTATGTGATTGTCCGGGTTTAATATTTCCTTCTCTTGTATTTAGCAAATATGATTTAGTTATCAATGGAGTATTTTCAATTGATCATTATAAAGGTGACTTTATTGATATTGTTCAAATCCTTTGCAATATAATACCTATACAACTATGTGATTACTACAAAATTAGTAATAATATTATTCATGAAGTAAAGAATGAAAAACAGGAAAAGATTTTCTTTTTAGATGCAACTGAATTTTTACATGCCTTTTGTACATCTAGAAAATATGTATCAGGAGGAAAAGGGGGGTTACTCAATTTTAACTTTGCAACTCGATTAATAGTTCGTGATTTCATAAGTGGTAAACTTATATACATTTTCCTACCTTCCTATTTCATGAACAATTCTAATATTTATCAGAAAAAGGAATTACAAGATGACATATACTCTATTAAACAAATAGAAGAAGAATTGCTAAATGTAATATATTTAAATTTTATTAAAAAAAGAATTTCATATATTTATTTTATTTTTAATTTTTTTTTTTTTTTTTTTTTACATGTATATTCCTGTTAGCATTAATATATATATATTTAAATGTACATATATTTTCATATTTGCTTATAAGTATTCCTAAATAGATATTTCAATTATAATTTCTTTATTTTAATTCATCCCTTTATATATACTCCCTTATTTTTTATTAAAACATTATTGTTTGTATTATCTATATTAGCATATATTTTACTTATATAATAATTATTTTCCTTCTATATTAATTTTTTTTATTTTCTTTTTTTCATTTTTGTAGGATCAGAATACAACCGAAGAGATTGCAGTAACAAAAAGAAAATTTCGTTATATGCAAAAGAAAATGATTAAAGGAAAAAATGTTATGAAATATTCTATTAATTAATAATATCCCTTAATTATTCTTTTGTTTGTAAAAATTGTTCCTTTATGATTTAATAATTGTAAAAATAAAGAGGATAATAATTTTTTTTTTTTCTCTTCATATTACTAAATTGATAAACATCAAGAGTATTACAATTGAATATTTAATATAAATGTTTTTATGACTGCTATAATAAGCTGGTGGCATAAAATACAAATCTGCAGGATTTTGACTACCATAATTATACAGTTGAATTGGTGTAAAAGCTACTGTGCCCATTGTATTTAAATTTGATGAATTAGATGTAGCATTAGATATGCTACTACCAAGTTTGCTATTTTTTTTTGTACAATATACCTATAAAAAAATTTGTATTTTTATTTTTTTAAACAATTGAATGAATTTAAATAAACAAACAATGTTATATTAATATTATATAAATGTATATGGTTTTTATTTGTAAATATGCTATTATTTAATTAAGGATATATATATTTTTTTTTAATATTATGTTTAAAAATAAATAATTATATAAATTATTATGAAACTTTTTAAAATTTTATTATAAAAAATTAATAGTGTTTATAGAATTATATATGAATAAGTTTTATGTAATAATATTTATTAAATTAATTATTTTACTTGAACACAAGAATTAAATAGCACTTCATCACAATTTTTACATGTAATTATGACTTCATAACCTGATCTAAAAAAATTTAATGGCTCATTTTTTATATATTTCATTTTAACAGGAACTTTTAAAGTCATTTCAATTAATGAATGTTTTCTGAACATTTTTCCTTTCCATTTTAAAGAATTTTTACATGTTTTCACAATAATATTATTAAAATAGGCCTCTATATGTAGTTTTTGCTTTTTTTTGAAATATTTACTTTTAAATTTTGAAAAAAGACTTTTTTTTTTTTTTTTTTTATTTTGACTTTTTCCTTTACTTTCTCCTTTACCAGAATAAGAAGATTCATTGTCATCTTCATCGCCATCTTCATCTTCATTATTAATGATTTCATCATTATCAATGTCCTCATCTTTTTTTTTTTTTTTTTTTTTTTTTGAGAAAAACCCTCTTTTTTTTTTTCCATCTGATTCTTCATCATAATCATCACCTTCATCATCAGAATTTTTTTTTTTAAAAACTTTTTGAAATATAGATTTAAAAAAGCCGTTTTTTGATTTGTAATAATTCTCCATTGAGTCACCTCCTAAATCTTCACCAATTTTATATTGATAAAAAGCATACTCCTTATTATTATGAAAATTATTTATCAAAGTATTATTCATTTTTTCTTTTTTTATAATTTCAACTGGATCATATAGTTCGTTATTAGATTCTTTATGTGTATCGTTTTTTTCTACTATAAAGTAGTTGTTTATATAATTTAACTTATTTTTATTAGTAGAAATATTATTATTTTCTCTTTTTAAATTATGTAAATCAATATAAGAGTACTGCATTAAATTTGGATCGGAATAACTTTTATTCGATTGTAGGTTATGATAATCATAATCAAAACTTTGATTCGTTTGTGAGTTATTTTTTTCCATATAGATAGGTTCTGCAATTTGATTATTCTCATATGAGATACTATCATTAGAAGAATTATTATATTTTGTTTCGTTATTGGAATTATATTTAGAGTTATTCGTATTATTTTCATCGTAATCAAAATGAAGTTTTTCATTTTTCTGATTTTCTTTTTTTTTTTTATATACACTACCTCTTTCTTCTTCATCAGATTCATTTTCTTCTTGATCATCATCGTTTTCATTTTCATCAATGTCAGTATCATCTCCACTTCTTGAATGATAATTTGACCTTTCTCCATTACTTAAAATGCTCTTTTTAGAAATATCTGTATAAATATCATTTTTATCTTTAACTATTTGCAATATTAACTTAATATAAATTGATGACATTCCATCATCGGAAACATCACATTTACTTAACTTATTTTTCAAATATTCTTCATATTTATTAATATTAATTTTTAATCTTCTATATATTATTTTTTTTTCTTCTGTATTTTTTTCTAAATAGGAATAATCTGTTCTCTCTTTAATATTATATTCATCATCTGGTTCTAATGATTTAGAACAAGTTAAAAATTTTTTTTTGAATTGAGTTTTGTTAAATAACATATTTTTTTTTTCAAATACTGTTGAGTTATAATATATATTCTTAGCTGATTGCTCTAAAAAAGATTCTTTATCATTATTTTTTGAATAACTTCCATTTTTTTTTTTATCTGATTCATCTTCTTCTTCTTCTTCTTCTTCTTCCACTTCTTCTTCATCTTCTGTGCCTTCTTCGTCTTCCTTTTTTGTAGAATTAGATTTTTCTTTTTTATTTTTTTTTGAATTGTCTTTTTTTTCATCTTCTTCATCTTCTTCTTCTTCTTTTTCTTCTTTTTCCTTATTATCACTTGTTTGTTTATTTTCATGTTTTGTTGATATATTGTCAACTTTTTTATCTAAAGGAATTTTAAATGTGTCATATGTAGTTTGACTAAAATCTTCTAGCAATCCTTCATATAGATTTTCATATCCTTCTAGAGAGGAATAAAAACATATATCTTGACTTTTTGCATGTGTCTTTTTGCATTTTTTGCATATAAAACCAAATAAGCAATCGTCAGAATTATCTTTTATTATATTTTTATATGAAGAACATCCAGCTGCCTCACAGGTGTGCATATTTGTCCCATTTCCCTGCACTCCTTCTGCTAAGCTAGCTGCTATTGCATCTGAAAGTAAATTATTATCTAAATTAGCCGAGTTATAAAAATTTACTATATTTATAAAAAAACAAAAAAAAAAAATAGTTACTTTTTTTAATGAAAAAAACATTGTTAAAAAAAGTAGAAGCAAAAAAAAAAAAAAGCTAGTAATAGGAAAATACAGATTAAAAAAAAAAGAAAAGTGTTATAAGATATATATTACTAATTTTTATTAAGCATTACAACATAGCAAAATTTTACAAATTATAAAAAAACCACATAATTGAAGGATATCATTTTAAAATAAATCAATTAATAGGAAGATAAGAATAATTATAAAATAAGATGGAAACAAAATTATTTTAATAAATATAACTCGATAATAGCCATTATTGAATAATATAAATTTTTTCAATAATCATTTTTTTTATTGAGTACATTTTTAATAGAAAACATTTTTTAAATAATAAATTTTTTTTTAAAAACATTTTTTCAATAATTAATATTGTATAATAAACGTTGTTTAGTAAAAGTTATGATTGAATAATTAACATATTTCATCAAGAAGAATTACTAATAAATATTGTCTATTCATAATAAATTTTTAATAATATGCATTATTTATTACATCCTTTTTGTAAATAAGAATTATATTTATAACAAAAGATAACTATTAAATATTAGTTATTAAAATATTCTACCTAAAATCAAAAAAAAAAAATAAAATTATACATAAAAATTATCATATGTACATTAATCTATAACAAAAAAAAAAAAAAAAAAAAAAAAAATTAAGAATTTACGAAAAGAAATGAAAATAGTAGGATACCTGTTAATGAAATAAAACAAATAAATAAAGTAATAGAAATAAGAAATAGAAAAAAAAATTATTAGATCATTCTTTTTTTTGTTTCAGCATGTATTGTTTATTGTGTTTTATGTATTTTGTAAATATTTGCACCAATCATGCACTTTAATGAGCTGAAATATAATTGTACAAAATATTTTCAAAATATTATTTTTATTAAATTTAATTACATAGGAATACTTAAGAATCGATTTTCAATTTCTTTGTTTCAGAAATACTAAATAATTTGTAGAAATTTAAGGTATTCTTTAAGTTTTTCTTGAAGTTTCAAAAGAATAGTTCTAATAAAATTCACTTAAAGCAGATAACCAACAACAGGTAGTTTAAGGGAAAAAAAAAAAGAAAAAATAGAAAAAAGTATTGCTTTACAAATTATAAGAAAAATTGCAAAAATTATTTTTCTTTTTTAGATTAATTCATAAGTACATTTTGAAAATAAAAGGAAATATTTTTTATTAACATAATATATATATATATATATATATATATATATATATATATATATATATATATATATATATATATATATGTTTTCTACTCCCAACTTCAGAAATGAAATGATTATACTTAATTATTCTTTTTTATTAGAATAATATATATAATTAATATATATTTTTTTTTTTTTTAATTTTCTTTAGTTATATTTAAAAAAAAAAAAATTATAAAAATAATTATATTTAGCTATATGCATAGAAATATATAAAAAAAAATATAATAGTTATAATAAATCAGAATATTAAACAAAAAACTTTATAAAAAAACAAATATATACGTAAATCTAAGCTTCTTCAGTTTATAATCAAAGATAATATATATATATATAATTGGTAATAATATTTTCAAAAAAAAAAAAAATATAATGAAGAGAAAATCAAATATATATGCATATGTTAATATAATAAATATAACATAACAATATTATTATTTAATTATCACGATTATAATTATTATCAATTATATATTTCAAAATGATACAATAAAAAAAATTATTTTTTTATATAAAAAAAAATATAAATTAATATGAAATAATGAAAAATCACATTGAAATTTTTTTTTTTTTCATTTAATTCCTATAAAAAGGATTATAAATTAGAAGTAAATCAAACAAAAAAAAAAAAAAATAGTTGCATGAAATTTATAAAATTGGTAAAATAAGATATATTTTTTTTATTTTTTACTAACTCGTAAAATAATTAAAATAAATGTATACACATAAAAAAAGTTCAATATAGAAAATATAAAATTCTTAAAAAATAAAACTGGAATTAAATATGTAATTGTTTTAATTATATTTTAAACTCACTTTTATTTTATTGAAAAATTGAATAATTAATAAAAGAAAAAAAAATTTATTATTATTCTCCATTATATTTTCCTAATCTATTAAAAATAACTATACATATAAAAACATAATTTTTTAAACTATCAAACAAAATTATATCATTAAATTTTGCTCCTATTATATTTTTTCAATAAACAAAAAAATAAAAAAGAAGGAAATATAATTTCTTTATAATTATCTTACAAATAATTTATAATCAATTTCAAATTAATTTGTAAATATTTTAATATTTCATTTTTATTTTTATATTTTTTTTTTTTTTTTTTTTTTTTGTGTAATTTGACAAATTTTCTCCTAATTCGTAAATTTGAAGTAAATTCTGTTCGCATTTTTTTAAATTTTATTTTTTTTTTAAAAGCTTAACTAAAATATTTTTACAAAAATCAAAAATACGATTTTTTTAGATTTGTGGGTACTGCTATCGTTTTTGCTTTTTTTCATAGTATCAACAGAATAATCAATATTCTTATATATAATTTGAAATTCCTTATATTTTTTTTTAGCTATTTTTTTTAACTACTTTTTTTAGCTATTTTTTTTAGCTATTTTTTTTTGCTATTTTTTTTAGCTATTTTTTTTAGCTATTTTTGTTAGCTATTTTTGTTAGTTAACTTATAGTTTTTTTTATTTGTAAAAATATTTTGTGCACAGCAATCATAATGTTTATTAACATTTTTAATGGTACTATTTAAATCATTTCTAACAATATTTTTCTTTATATTTTTACTTTTATTTTCATTTTTTTTAGAACAATTTTCAGGAATTTTTTCTTTTTCATTCATAACTTTAGTAATGTTTGATTGGGGATAGTATGGATTATTTATTCCTGAATTCACAATATTATTAGTAGATATTTTCCATCTTTTATCCTTATTTTCTATATTTACGTTTTTAATAACTTGATGATAACAAATATCAGTTTCGTTACTAACTTTTTTATCATCAGTATGTTCATAATAATATTTTTCATTATTATTGTTAACATTATTTTTATTATGTTGATTCAGTACATAATTATTTATTCCTTTATCTTTTTCATAATTTTTTTTGGAATTTTGAACTTCTTTAGATTTGATAGTTTTATTATTATTATCATAAGGTTTTTCAAGGATATATTTTTTGTTTTTAAAATTTGATATTTCATTATTTTTTGAATAATTTATATCAGAAAAAATAATAGATTTTTTATGGTTACTCAATTTATTATAAGTAATATTAGTATTAGTAATAGAAGCAGTTTTTTTTTTTTTTTTCTTTTCTTTTTCTTTTTCTTCATCATTTTTGTTATTTTCTATTGAATCATTTGTTTTAATTAAATTACCTGATGCTTTCTCTTGATAATTTTTTTTTACATTTTTTGAATAGTATTTTTTTCTTCGCATTATATCAAAATATACAATATTTCTATAAAAATTCACTTTATATTTTGTACTATCATTAATAGGAATAGTGATAATTTTTTTACAAATAGGTTCATCTATAATAGAATGAAATTGTTCGACATATTTATGTTTGAGAGCATTTTCTGCACTAATCCTTTTTGAAGGATTAAATTGTAATAATTTTTGAAGTAAATCTAATGAGTCTTTTGATGCTTTATGAAAAATATCAGATAAATTTTTTTTTTTAATATCAATAAAAGAAGAAATAATAGTTTCAGCAAATGGAGATTTTATATCTTCAATATCTTTTCTATTTGGTTTTCCTATTATTTCAATAATTTTTTCTAATTGATTCATAGTAGAATTTCCTCTAAATAATGGTTTTCCACTTAACAACTCTCCCATAATACAACCAAGTGACCACATATCTACTCCTTCTGTATAATTCGTACTACCTAATAAAATTTCTGGAGCCCTATACCATCTCGTTGCAACATAATCTGTTAGAACTGGTATTTTATTTTCATTAACTTCTGTTGAGATACTTCTTGCTAAACCAAAGTCAGCTACTTTTATATGACATTCTGAATTTAAAAGTATATTTGAAGGTTTGATATCACGATGTAACAATAAGCCAGAATGTATATATTTTAATGCTCTTAATAATTGATATATTATATATTTCTTATGTATTTCTTCTAATAAATCTGCTTTAATTACTTCATGTAAATCTGTTTCCATATAATCAAATACTAAATAAATGTCATTATCATTTTTTGCTTTCATAACATCCATTAATTTTATTATATTATCATGACCATTTAGTTGATATAAAAACATAATCTCTCTAAAAGTTCTTTGAGCATCTGTTGAATTTTGAAAAGCATCAAATATTTTCTTCACTGCTACTATTTTATTATTTTTTTTACATTTTGCTTTAAATACAATCCCATATGCTCCTTTTCCTATTTTTTTTATGATTTCATATTTTTTTAATACATTTTCATCTACTTCATCTGTGTTTTTCAGTTGTTTGTTTTGTTCTTTCGGCATTTTACTTTACATATAAAAAAAAATGAAATTGATTCTTTATCTTTTAAATACATAATTTATTTTTTAAAAAAAAACTCAAATTAGAATGTTAAAAAAGAAAAAAAAAAAAAAAAAAAAAAGACTTTGTCTCTTTTTATATATAGAAATTATATTATTTTTTACAAAAATTATTTTTTCTTTTTAAAGTGAAAATGCAGCTTTTCAAAATGTAAAAGGATAAGTATATTACTAAACAAAAATAAAAATGTATTTTGAAAATAATTATTTAAAAAATATTAATTCTAAAAGTGTTATTTTTTTAAAGGAAATTTTAATTTTTCAAGAGGAGAATTTTATTTTTTAAAAACTAAGAATTTCATATTTTTTAGATAAATAAAAAAATACATATTTGCAAATTAGAACAATTATTTCTTTAAAAATTAAAGAAAAAAAAAAAGCACTGAAAAAATACAATACCAAAAAAAAAAAAAAAAAAAAAAAAATTTCATAAAATTAAATTATTTGTATTTTAATGCCAATCAATAATGTTTATATAATTTTTATATTTTTTTTTCATTTTTTTTATAAATTTTAATAAAATAATTTGTTACTTTTTTTTTTTTTTAATAATAAATAAAAATTTGATTATTAAAATTTTATAAAAAAAAAAAAATATGAAACAGCACAAATTTATTTTATAAAAATTTAACTCAAAATTTTTTGTGTGAGCATTCAAAAGATGAAAAATAAGAAAAAATAAATTGTCTTACAATTTTTTATGCCATAATATAAATTTATGTTTTTTAATTCATACTCTAAATTTAATATTATGAGTTACATAAATATTTAAAAGGTTAAAGTAACGAATTACTAAAAAATAACGATATAATATATAAAACATTTCTAGAATAAGAATTATTTAAAACATTTTTTTGTTAGTTTTATATGTATGTTATTTTAAAATAATCCTTCTAAAGAAATTTCTATTTTTTATATCCCTATGTAATTCTTTTTAGTAGCAAAATATCTTTATTACCTTATTCTAAATAATGAGAAATCTATGCATACATTTAAACTTTTTTAATGAAGAACAATAAAAATTAGAAAAAAATAAATAAATAACAAAACTATAACCTTTTATTATGTCATTTTATTAATGAAATATTAATTCTTTTATGTAATTAAAATTAAAATATTTACTAAATACATAGAGAACACTATTTGGTTTGATAATATATGTTAAGAATTATAATAAGAAATTTATTAGGAATGAAAAAAAATACATTAAGAAATTCTAAATATATAATTTTATATAAATATAAATAATAGTATATATATATATATATTTTTTTTTTATTTTCGTAAGATTTAAAATTTTAAAATTTTCCTTAAGGGAAAAAAAAAAAAAGATATAATATATAATTTAATAAAATAAAAACTTATTTAATATTCATAAGTAAAAAAAAAAAAAAATTTATATCATTAAAACACAAATAAAAAAAATACATGACATATATAGATAATTTTTAAATTAAATATGCTATATAAAAAAAAAAAAAAAAAAAAAAAAAAGAAAAATATAATGAAAAATAAAAAAAAAGGAAAATTAATTAAATCATATTAATAAAAATTGTAAATATTAAGTTAAATATTTTTTGACATAAATTATTAGGCGGACACATTAAAACGAAAATGTGTTAAATAAAAATTAAAAAAAATTATATACTATCTTTTAAGTAGTTTTAGAAAAATACTGTAAAATAATTTACCTATATATATATATTACACAAATTTTGTATTCTTTCGTTTTTACTTTTTTTTTTTTTTTTTTTTTTTAACATGAGTCACCAATACAACTTTAATGGCTCTTTTTATTAAATGAAAATAATATTATTTTTTTAATGTTTTTTTTTTTTTTTTTTTTTTTATTTATTTAAAACAATTATGCTTTAAGATGATAAAAAATTCATTCAATTTTTTAATATTCAAAGGAGTATTTTAAGTATTGAAATAATATAAATATCATATTTTTTGTTAGTTAAAATATATAGAGCAATTAAAAGAAAAAAATTGTATATATATGAATAAAAAGTAATTTTTTTTTTAATATATAGAAAAATATATATATATATTAAAAAACATTGAAAATATATTAAGGTAAAAAAAAAAAAAAAAAAAAAAAAAAAGAGTAATTTTAATTAATAAATTAATGATAATATCATTAGAATAAATATAGATTTGTTGCAAAAGAAAAATAAAATATATACATAAGATTTTTTTTTTTTGTAAAAATAACAAAAATATTTAATATTAACAAATTTGTGTATAAGACATTTATATCAAGAAAAATTATTAATAATGTTACCTTTAAAAAATGAGTTTAAATTTATGATGAGATTGAATAGAAACATAGTGAGTAATATATGGAATAAAAAAAATAAGTTACATTTTGGAAATAAGTCTCGTTTCTTTATTGAAAAAAAATATCTAAGCATACATGAATATTTATCTATAGATTTACTACGTTCTCATAATATACCATGTGCTCAAGGATTTCCTGCTAAAACCCCTGAAGAGGCAGAAGAAAAAGCATTAGAATTACAAAATATATGTGGTGATATTGATTTGGTTGTAAAAGCTCAAGTATTGAGTGGTGGTAGAGGAGTAGGTTATTTTAAAGAAAATAATTTTGAAGGAGGAGTTCATATATGTAGAAACAGCATGGAAGTAAAAGAAGTAGCTTCTAAAATGCTAAATAATACACTAGTTACTAAACAAAGTGGTATAGAAGGAAAGAAATGTAATACTGTGTTTATATGTGAACGATTTTACATTAGAAAAGAAAGATATGTGGCATTTTTATTAGATAGAAGTTCAGATGGGATTTTATTACTTGGATCAAGTGTTGGTGGTTCTTCTATAGAAGATATAAGCAAAAAAAACCCAGATGCTATATATAAAATGAATATAGATATAAAAAATGGGTTGAGTAATGGGCAATCAAGGGAATTTTGCGAAAAAATTGGATTTAAAAATAACGAATTAGATATTGTTAGTGATATAATTGTAAATTTATACAAAATATTTAAGAAATATGATTGTACTTTATTAGAAATTAATCCTTTATCAGAAACAAATGATGGAAGAGTTCTTTGTTGTGATGCTAAATTAAATTTTGATGATAATGCAGAATTTAGACAAAAAGAAATTTTTGAAAAAAGAGATATATCACAAGAAAATGCAGAAGAAATGGAGGCAAAAAAATATAATCTAAACTATGTTTCTTTAGATGGTAATATAGCATGTATGGTTAATGGGGCTGGATTAGCTATGGCTACTTTAGATTTAATTGTTTTACATAATGGGTCACCTTCTAATTTTCTTGATGTAGGTGGAGGTGCAACTGAGAAAGAAATATCAGAAGCATTAAAAATTATTAATAACAATAATAAAGCAAAAGTTTGCTTTATTAATATTTTAGGTGGTATAATGAGATGTGACATTATTGCAAAAGGTTTAATTAATGCAACAAAAGAAGTTAACTTTAAAAAACCACTTATTATAAGACTAGAAGGAACAAATCAAGAAGAAGCAGAAAGATTAATTAAAGAGTCTAATATAAAATGCATTTTATGTCAAGATATGAATGCAGCTGCAGAAAAAAGTGTAGCTATGGCAAATATAATAGAAATAGCAAAAAAATCAAATATAAATATTGCTTTTAATTGATATATTTTTGGTGGATATTTTTCGAAAAAAAAATACATATAAAATAGTTTTTTATAAAATATAGATCATAAAAACTGTGATATTTTTTTTTGGCCTTATTTAATTTTCTTTTCTTTTCCATATATTATTTTTTATGGTACTTTTTTTTATTATTTTATTTTTTTTTTTCAGATTTTCATTTTTTATTCTTTTTGTAATAATATTTATTATTTTTAATAGATGAGAAAAAAAAAAAAAAATAATAGTTTAAAAAAATTTTGACTTTAACAAATTGTAGATTAAACTATTATTAATTATTTTCATTTTTCATTTATTTTTTTATAAATTTTTATGATTTCCTATACATGATATTCTTTATATTAATTTATTTTAAATATTTTTACTAATATAATTTTTACATATTTAATATTCTTTTATGTTTTATTTCTTTTTTCAGGATTTCATACAGCTTGTATCTTTTTAGTAAAAGTCATTTTATATATATATATAAATTAACTAGAATAATAAAAATATTTTAATATAAGAAAATATATGAACATAAGAAATATGTAACAATTTAATATATAAAAAATAATAAAAGCATAAAGATCAAATAATAAACAATATCAAAGAATTCATATTAATTTATAACATAATTTTAACCCTTTTTTTTTTTTTTTTTTTTTTTTTTTTGTTGTTGTAAAATATGAATTTTCCTTTAAGAAAATATAACAAAGTTTTTCCTTTAAATATATTTACATATATATAATTGTAAAATTAAAAAAAATGAAAATTATTAAAAAATATAATCTTAATTTTAAATAGATATTCATAAAAAACATAAGATAAAAATAATACGAAAGATGCTAATTCAATTAACTTTTTATCTTTATTTTTTACATTTTTTTTAAAGATTTAAAATTATACGTAAAAAATAAATAAATATTTTAAAAAAAATAAATATTTACTTAAGCAATTTTTTCTTAATGCTCTCAAAAATTTTCTCTATGAAAAAAAATTTTTTTTATAAGTGTGCTATGTTTGCATATATATTTAAAAATAATAAAAATTAGTTTGTATTATTATTTAATTTAAAAATAGTTACAATTATGTTCTTTTATATATATATATAAATTCATAAAATATATGAAAATAATTTAAAAAAAATACTAATAAAAGTAATTTAAATTTTTCAACCTGAAAAATACCCTTGAGCCACCAATATTATACATAAAATATATTAATATCAAATATTTTACATTTAAGAAATATATTTTTTTTTTTTTTAATATAGAGTTTTTATTACAGCAATATATTCTTTATTATTTATTTTTTTATTATTTATATTTCATTATTTTTTTTAATTTATTTTTTTAATTAATTTTATTTTCTCATTATTTTTTTTTTTTTTTTTTTTTTTTGTAATAATCATTAATTTTATTTTTTTCTTATTTTTAATTAATAAATATTTGAAAATATAAAAAAATGCCACGTGTTGAATTAACAGAAGAAGAAAAATTAAATTTAACAAAAAAAAATCTTTTATTTAAAAGATTTGTAGAACCAGGAAGATTATGCCTTATTGAATATGGTCCATATGCTGGAAAGGTAATTCCTTAAAATAAGGAAAATATTTATTTTAGAAATTATGTTTTTTATATTATTTTTTATTTTTATTTTTTTTTTTTTTTTTTCTATAGTTATGCTTTATAGTTGATATTATAACACTTACTAGAGTTATTGTTGATGGAGCTTTTGTTACAGGGTATTTTAATTTATTTTTATTTTTATACATATATATATATATTTTTATATATATATATATATATATTTATATATATAACATAAAATACTTATAATTGAAATGTATATTAATAAAAACATAAGTTTTTAAAACATAAATAGCTATCATATTTAAAAAAAAATAATGATACTTTGTTAATTATAATTATATTAGAATTTATTTAATCATAAAAATCACTTAACTTTTTTTTTTTTTTTTTTTAGAGTACCAAGAATGATTGTACCTATCAAAAGATTGAAGTTACTAAAAGAAAGAATTAAAATAAATAAAAATTGCAAAAGTGGATTTTTGAGGAAAACAATTAAAAGTACAAATGTCTTAGAAAAATTTAAAGAATCTAATTTAGGAAAAAAAATGTTGATAAAAAAGAGAAGAGATTTAGCTACTGATTATGAAAGATTTAAAATTTATTATGCTAAAAGAGAATTAAAGAAAAAAATTAATTTTTTAAAAAATGAAAAAGAAAGAAATAACAAAAAAGAAAACAAGAAAGTTAAAAAAAGTTCAGCTAAAGGAAATTAATTTTTGTAAAAACAAACACTATATTTATCATTTAAAGGATACAGAATAAAATAATAAATATATATATATATAATTGAAAAAAAGAAATATATAATAAAATAATTTATAAAGTATGAAATGATTTTTCATTAATTTTTTTTATTGATATTAAAAAAAAAAAAAAAAAAAATTGTAGAAATATAAAAATAATCTGTAAATATTTAAATACTTACATTTATATATAAACTTTTTTTTAATAATTGTTGTTTTAATAAACTTGAAAATATAAATTTTTATAAAATAGTATTTACATAATATTATCTAGATAGAATAATGCATAAAAAAAATAATCAAAAAAAAAAAAAAAAATTCATTTTTAAACTTTAAATTATCAATAGTAAAAGTATGTGTATATTTTATAAAGATGCTGAATAAATGCTGCATATATAAAATTTTTTTCTTTTTTTACTTCTATTTTATTTAAATTATTTATTAGGCTATTTTATTTGCATAAAATGCATCAAAACATGTATTCGTTTTATTTCTTTTTTATTATTATAAATGCAACATTTTCAGTAATCAAAAAAGTTACATATGTTAAAAAGTTGTAAAAAATAAAAGGAGAAAAAATTAAATATATATTACGAAATATACTTAATTTCTCCTTATTGTATTACCTACAAAAAATAAATATTAAGAAGTTAAATTAAAATTTTAGTATATAAAAAAAAAAAATTTCGAATAGATTAACCAATGTGTTTTTTTACATATTATATTTTTTTACATTTTTACAACTTAAATCTAAAATGAAAAGATTTACTTTTAGAAAAAAAAAAAAAAATAAAATAAAATAAAAATGTCATTTAACTAAGGAGTATTAAAATACTTACTTTTTTTTTTCTTTATTTTGTTATTATAGAGTACAATAATTACTGTATCTCAAATTTAATAAAAGAAAACAAATTTTCGTATTCCTTTTATAAATGAAATAAGTTGATTTGAATTTTCAGGAAAATAGAAAAAAATAGTAGATAAATAAGTAAAGAAATAGTAAAAAATATAGATATATTAAAAATAAAATGGGAAATATTATATAGGTGATGAGAATAAAAAATATATATATTTAAATCTTTCAAAATAAAAATTAAGGTCCTTATAATTACAAAACATAAAATTTTTCTTTTTTTTTTTTTCTTTCTTTTTTTATATATGTGACAAATAACTTATATTAATTAATATAACAATATAAAAAAAAAAAAAAAAAAAGGGTAAATTTTAATTTTTAAAAGGAAAAAGAATCACTCCTAAAATAAATACTATTCATATGGAAATAAATATAAATATATAATTATTTTTTTTTTCTAGAAAAATTAAAGTTCATTATTTTTTTAATCATCATATAATTCAAAGAAGAAATAATTTATGTAAATCTTTCAAATTTGTGCTTTTTTTTTTTATTTAAATATAATTAAAAAAAGCATACATATTTATTTATTTTACCCTTTATAATTATAAAAATTACTAATTATCATTGTTCTTTTTTCTTACAACTATTAATATAAGAATTATAATTTTTGTGATATATAATAATTTACTAATTAATTTTTTTTATTTTTTTTTTATTTTACATGTATTAACAATATGTATCATATTTACTTTTTTACTTTTTCTTTGTAATTCTTTTATCTTCCTAATTTATTCTGGCTTCTTTTCGTATCAATGGATACTTTACCTTTTTTTATCCACATTTTTGAGATACAAACAAATATATATATGTATATATAATTTGTTTTAAGCTTTCATTTTTAATTATACAATTCAATTGATATATTAAATTTAATTTTTTATTAATGGAGGAAAAGATGAGACCTCTAATAGGGTTTTCTGAGAGAGATAATATGAAGGAAGTTGCAAGCAAAAAAAGATTCATGGAATTTTTATTTTTTTATTGTATGCCATTATTTATAATAATATTGTTAATTGTATATATATTTTATAATAATGCAATCTTATACAAAATATCAAAAGAAAAAGATTACGGAATCATAATAGATGCTGGATCTAATGGTACTAGATTACATTTATTCACATGGAAAAAAAGAGAATATGAATCTAATAATAAAATAAATAGATTAACAAAACCATATGAGATATATAATAATAGTTTGAAAAAAAGTTTATCTAATATCCCAATAAACGAAATAGAAGATACTTTAATAAAATTAGTTAATATAGCAATGGATTATTTAAAAAAAATTAATTGTTCCAATAAACAAAAGTGGAAAAATTATCCTTTTTATTTTCAAGCAACAGCTGGAATGAGAAATTTAGACTCCTATGAAAGGGATTTAAGGATGAAAATAATTAGAAGTGTTTTATCAGATTCTAAAATTAACCCTTTTAATTTTTCTAATGATTATGCAAGGGTTATTTCGGGAGAGGAAGAAGGAATTTATGGTTGGCTATCTGTCAATAATGCTTTAAATACAATTTTTTCAAAATCTTATGAAACTTTTGGTGCAATAGATTTAGGTGGAGCATCAACACAATTAACATTTTTTCCTGTAGATACATCTATATTAGAAGATTATAATGGAATTCATTTAGATAACACATTAATTCGCTTATATTCACACTCATTTATAGGATATGGATGGAATGATTCTTTATTTAGGATAAATATTATTTTATTTTTGAAAAAAATGTTAGAATATAATAACATGAATAAAATTTCCTATTCTAATCCTGTTTTTTTTTTTAATAATGATTATAAAAACAATGGTAATCCTTCTTTTTATGAGTTACAAAATTACCTTAGTAAGAATAGTATATCAAATGAAGAACCATATTTATATAATTCAAAAAATAAAAATTTTCTAAAAGATATTAAAAATAAAGAGAAAGAAAAAAAAAAGGATTATAATAACATGGGGAAATATATAGAAAATTCAAAGGATAATAGTAACTTATATGATATAAATGATCATGTAAATGAAATAAATAATTTTCATCTTAATGAAAATGAATATAAAAACATTTATGATTTTTTATATAATGAATTTATAAAATATATTAATGAAGGAGTTAATTATGAAATATTATCACATAACGATTCTTATGATTATACATATAATATACATAATACAGAGCCATATTATGTTGAAAATTTTATTAAAAAAATTAAAAATTTTAAAAGAAATACAGAAAATGATACAATAGTAATTATTGAAAATCCTTGTTTGCCTTATCCATTTGAATTAAAAATCTCGTTACCTACCTATAATGTTGCAACTAACGAATTTGTTATTTTGAAAAAAAAAAGTAAACATAATAGCAATAATGATAATATTATTAACGATGATGTACTGAACAAGGATTTTGAGTCTAAAATAGTGTTAAAATCTAAAGTTTTACAAAATAATTTGTCTATTTTGGAAAATATATATGAAGATTTTAAATTAACAAGCAATTTTGAAAAAATTTTTAAATTAATAAATATTAATAATGCAGATAATATAAAAGATAATTTCATTAAGTATATATTCCAGAAAAATATAATTCATAAAATTAGTGAGTTATATATAAATATTACAGTTAAATTTATTGGATCTAATAATTTTAATGAATGCTTAATAAATGCTCAAAAATTATTTTATGAAGAATCTTGTTTTCTTTCGACTTGCAGTTTCAATGGTGTGTATCAACCAAATTTAGAAAAAAATAAATTTGTAGTTTATGGCCAGTTTAAAAAAGTAATGAAAAATTTAGGTTTTAAAAAATATATAAACTTAGTGGAGATGAAAAATCTTGTACATAAATATTGTAATCTTAATGTTAAAGAATTATCTAATGTATTTAAAGATATTTCTAATGATCAAATTAGTAAATTTTGCTGGAAAGCGTTATGGTCGTATTCATTGCTACATTATGGTTTTAAATTTAATGAAAAAAGCAAAATTATAGTTTTAGATGATATCATACATGTTGAAGATGAAGAAGAAGATGAAGATGATGATATCAATGAAAGAGACAATGAAGATAACAATGAAAATAAAAATGAGAATGAAAAAGTAAAAGAAATAAAGGATATTATAAATGGTAATTTTATTATATCGAAAATTCTAAAAATTTTTTTTCCTATAAAAATTCATCATTTAAAAAAAAAAAAAAAAATAAATTCAGAAATTTATTCAGATATAAATGATACTAATAAAGATCAATCATATAAGAAATATAATAATACTAATTATTTATATAATCAAATAAATATAGACTATTATAAAAAAAAAAAAGCATATACGAATAATGACAAATCAAGAAATATAACTGATAATGTTAGTTGGACTCAAGGATGTATGATTTATCAAGTTAATTTTTTCCCTAAATATATAAATTTAAGGTTATTATTTATTTATGTACTCATATATATATATATATATATATATATATATATATATAAGTACATAATAACCTAATGTATATATATGGATATGAAATACGTAATATCTTTATAATACTTTAATTTTTTTTTTTTTTTTGTTTTTCCTTTTTACAGAAAATATGAAATATATAAAACACTACTAATTTCTCTTTCTATTATAATTTTTATGATTGTCATCATGCTATGTGGTTATGTTCTTAAGTTAAAACAAAAATTAAAGGATTACCAATCACCAATAAATTAGAAAGATATTGAATTAGGGAATTCATATGTTTATAATTCAAAAATTTAGTAACTCTTTTCTTTTTTTTTATATAGGTAATCAATATAATAAATATTGTACTTACCAAATAAATTTCTTTTTAATTCTACTTTTTTCTTAGTTTAACATATATATTTATTTATATATTTATGTAATTTTTTTGATAATTTTTAAATATAATATTTGATAAAATTCTGTTTTTTTCCTTTTTAATGTTTTTTTGGTTATTCTTTTAAAATAATGTAATTTTTTAAACGAGAATAATTAACTTGTCCATCATATAATGTTTTCCTTTCAGTGCATTTTTTTTAGCAAAAATATTCATAGATAATTTTTTTTTGTTTAAAAAATTTATTTTATATATAATCTATTAAAAAATAAAATGATAAATTTTGAAATTCTTTCATATGGATATAATAATTTAATGTCTTGCATATATATAATATTATAAATTAAGTCATTAATAAAAATAACAATAAAATTTAAATAAATTATTATAAAAATTGATATAAAAAAATTAATTTTTTAAAGATAATATGTAAACATAAATATATACAGTAATATATTTCATTTTAATTGGAAATTATAGAATATACATTTCAAATAAAATGTATATATAAATGATAAAATGTTACAGTTAAAATTTTTCTCTGTATTATAGAAATTTTCAAATTAAAAAACAGAGTAAATTAATAAAACGTTTAAAAATATTATTTTAAATAATTTGGAAATACAAAAATTATTAAAAATAACTAGTGGAATAGTTATTTGTTAAATAAATTGGATAAAAAAAAAAAATATATATATATACTTGATCTTGTGAACACACAGTTCTTTTATAGAAAAAATATTGAAATAAATTACATAACTATTTAGGAAGTAATATTATTAATATTTTAAAAGAATACATATATATGCCTATGTATATTTTTTAGTACTTAAATTATATATAAAGTAAAAAAAAATAAGAGTGTCTTAGAAAAATATAAAGTTTTTTCCGATTATTTAATTTTAATAATTTTATTTTTTTTTTTTTTCTTGATTAATTATTCATTCCTTATATAAAGAAAAAAATGAAAAATCAAAGAAATTATTTTATCAATATTATTACTGGAATATGATGAAATAATATAATAAAAATAATATAAATTATCCCGAATAAATATTAATCTAATTATGAAAAACTGAAAATATTATAAATATGCTTTCTGAAAAGAAACATATTTTTCAAATATTTAAAGAATATAAAAATTATTTTTTATTATTATAAGGTGAAGTCTTTCTTTTTATTTGAAAATTTAAAGAATTATATCATTTAAATTTGCTAAAAAAAAATTATAAAATTTTGTAAAATGAAAGTAAACCAAATGAACATATACTTAAGAAAGTTTTCCTAAAAAAAATATTCAAATAGAATTGAAACAGCATTTCTGTATTTTCTTTAAAATGTAAAGAAAAAAACAAATGAAAAATTTACGTACACATGTTAAATAATATATTAATAGAAAAAAAAATATTTATTTCATATTTTGAATTTAAAAATGATACAAATAAATGTTAGTATAGAATATACGCACACAAAATATGAATGTCATAAGTTTGCACACATATATACAAAAAAAAAAAAAAAATAAAAAAATATATGCGTATGCGTGTCGAATAATTTTATGAATAAGTAATAATTTTTTTTTTTTTTTTTTTTTTTTTTTTTATAAATACTTAATAGTATTGCACAATAGACGTAGAATGCTTTTTTTTTTTAATTAAATGTGCACATAAGCAGAAGTTTAAAATATCACACTTTTTTAAATTTATACATACAAATACATTTAAATAAAATTAATATAAACTTGAATTAGATAAAATATTTTAAAAAAATCTGATTAAAAAAAATAATAAAATTAGTAGAGTAATAAGTAACTCTAAGATTTTTTTTTTTTTTTTTTAATTTATTGTAATATATTCTTCTATATTTTTTTTCAACAGTAAGAAAAAAAAAAATCCACACATACAAAAAAACTATATTTTATAAACAAAAAGTAGGAATAATATTATTTTCATTGTTTCATACACCTAAAAATAATTATGTATACTACTTAAATGATAAATTGTTTAGAAAAAGAAATTAAGATATAAAAATACACAAATTGACAAATTCTTAGATAAATGTAATTTTTGATTGTTGCATTTCTTCTTCTTTTTTTTTTTTTTTTTTTTTTTTTTTCTATGTAGCAACATGAAGAATAAGTTTGTCCTATTTATAAATAACTTTTAAATAATTGGTTTTTTTATTTTAGTAATTTTTTTTTATGAAAAATAATTATTGATTAATATACATACATACATACCTTTAGAGTGTGTTTTATGCTTAATGTGTGCCTATTTTAATGGAAAATAATGATATTATATAAAAAAATAAACAATGAAATTATATTAACGTATTTAATTTTTTGTTAATTGTATTCATAATTTATTTTCAATGGCGTATTCTAATATTATATTGTTCTTATAAAAATATATTTTATAAACAAAAAATTATTGAAAATTTTTTATTAATAATATATACATCATTATGATTTTCATAATTCATTTTTTTTTTATAATTACATTTATTATTTTATTTAAAAGTTAAAAATATTATTAAATTTAATAAATATCTACTATTTTTTTTTTAATATATAATGAGTACACAAAAATAAAATTAAATTAGTACATAAAACAAGATTGATATAAATATATTTTTAACATAATATTTTAAAAAAAAAAAAAGTAAAAAAAAAAAAAAAAAAAAAAAAAAAAAAATATTTTTTAAACAAAGTATTAGAAATTCAGATTAAAATAAAATAAACACCATATGTTTTTAATTGTCCAGATAATTAATACTAAATCTTCCAAAATTTCTAAGTATAAATTAATATCTTTATTATTAAAGAGGAGTACAATATATAAATTAATATAGAATTTTTTATATTTTTTTGATGTTTAAAAAAAAAATAAATATTTAGTTTTTCCTTAACATAATACAATTTAATTATGAATTACAATAACGTAAAAGAACAAGGGGTTTATGAAGCAATAAATGAAGGGATGGAAAATGAAACTAATATGAAAATTAATAGTCAGGATTATTATAATTTGTATGGAAATCATATTAATTGTGATAACATAAATATAAATAACGCAAATGAACATATTCCTCTTGGGACTCCATTAACATATATTGCTGGGAACCCAGAAGATCCTATACAAAATGTAAATAATGAAAATATGGATGGTAAAAAAAGAATTCACACAGATAGAAAATATACTGGTTATTTTGTTTCATATGTAACCTTCTTAATAATTATTGCATTTTATCATTTTTATTACGGAAAATATGCTCGTATATTATATGGTACTAATTATAATGGGAAGACATGTGGGAGTGATTTAAAACATCATAAATATTTATATTTTCCTTTATCTCCTAAAATGTCCAAACCTGAAATATTAAACAAATATGGAAAATGCTTGGAATCATGTCCAACATCTGATGATGGTTCAAAAAGAAAAATAGATTTAACTAAAGATGCAAATAAAAATACTAAAAGCAAAGGATTTTTTGATGATTCTTATTTGTTTTCTGATAAAAATAAAAAAAAGGTTGTTATGGATAAAAAAGGAAATACTACAACAAATGTAGTTTATAGTGATTATACCAAAAGTTCAAATAGTAACTTGTATGTAGAATATTCTTTAAATTCACCATATTATGATACTACTAATATAATGAATATATGTTACCCTAAAGATAAATCATTACGAGAGAAAGTTATAAATATAGTATTTACAAATAGATATAAAACGTTTGTTAATTTATTTTCTTTTCATAATTCTTTTTATTTAATGGTTATTTTTGTTTTTATTACAATAATATTATCTTTTATTTACTTACTTATCTTATATCACATACCAACCCCTTCTTTTCATTTGTTTCTAATATCATTCCTTGGTACTATGATATGCTTCCCTATATATTTTATTCATAAACATCTATATTTATTATTTAATCCACTAAAGGGATCCCTTTTTTCTTATCATTATTTTATTTCTATTTTAATATGTTTCACAATATTTGTTCACGGAATAATATCATTATTCATCATATTTATATATAGAAATACATATAAATATACCTCTAAATTAATAGGAATTAGTTTAAATTTTATAAATACTATATCTAATATACTTTATGCACCAATTATAATTGCAATTATATCATTTTTATGGTTTCTTATTTGGGTTTATACATATATTTACATTATGACAGCTGGATCATTATATGAAAAAAGGGTAATTTATAATAAAAAAAATTTAAACATATATATATATATATATATATATATATATATATATATATATATTATATCTTATTTTATATAGTTAAATTTGGAATTAGACTCTAATGGGAATAGTGAAATAGTATCTCTCCAAAAATTTTTCTATTATTTCAAAACTTCATATATTTTTTCTATGTAAGGAAATATAAGAGCTATCAAAAATAATATTTATAAAAAAATAATAATTTAATATTGTAAGAAATGAGAAAATAAAAATATAAATTTATTCATTTTTATTTTAGATTTTGGATTTATTTATATTTTCTTGTGTGTGAAATATTACAATCCTTAAACCAATTCACCATAAGTTATTTAGGTAATTCAACTAATTTTTATCTGAAAATTTTGTTTAAATCTAAGAATATTTTTATTTTTATTTTATTTTATTTTTTTTTTTTTATAGGAGCTGTGTGGTATTTCAGTGATAAAGTTCATTTTCACAAAAGCATAAATGCTGGAGAAACCATGAGTAATTTTTTATTTAAAATAAAAAAAATATGAAGTTATCATAAATATATTGTAAATTATTTTATTTATATATTTAATTATTCACTTCTTTTTTTTTTTTTTTTATTTTTTTTTTTAGAAACAATTCTGGATTATCATTTTGGTAGTTTAGTTTTATCAAGTTTTATTAATTTATCAATCAAACTTCTACGTGTTTTATTCTTTTGGGTAAATAGTACTTTATCCCTCCCCTTTTTTTTTAACGATTTAATTTATAACTTAAAAGAAAGATTTAGTAAATAGAAAAAAAATATACAAAATAACACTAATTCTTATAATATTAATAATATACTATTAATAGTAATATTACAAATATATCAATACTTTACAATTTTTTTTTTATATATATAGATTTCATATTAAGGCCTGTTTCTAAACTCATTGATTTGCATACAATGTCTGCTTATTGTGAAGTAAGTTGTTTTTTTCAAAATTCAAAATTTTTTAAATAAAAATTAAAAAAATTATAAAAACAAATATTTATATAAAAAAGAGAATTACAATAAAATAAAAAAAAAAAAAAAAAAAATAACAATTTTATAATATAATAAAATTAATATAATTTTTTTTTTTAATATATATTTACAGATGTCTATGACATCATATCCATACTTATTTGCTTGTGATACTTCATCAAAAAAGTTAATTAATTCTACTTCACCAGCAGCTTCTTTACATGGAGTAAAATTAAAAATTTTTAAAAAAATTTTAATATATATAAATATATATAAAAATATATATATATATATACATGTTTTATTTTTTTTTTTTTTTTTAGACAACATATGTATTGAATATAATATTTCCCTGTTTTACTACTATGATTATGACATTCCTCTCATTTAATGTAAAATATAAAAAATAAATAAGTTTATTTTATTTTAATTATTATATTAATATCATCATTATTCTTGTAAAAATAATTTTTTTATTTATTACTATAATTATTTTTTTTTTTTTTTTTTTTTTTTTTAGATATTTAATAATTTTCAAAGATATAATGATTTGTTCTCTCCGAACTTTGTTCCAAATCCGTTTTTTGCATCTTTTGTAAGTAGAAAAGAACAAAATAATTTTTTATTTTGTTATAAATATATATATTTATTTATTTATTTATTTATTTATTTATATTTTATTAACTTTTCTTCTTTTAGGTAATTGGTATCTTATGTGGAATAATAACATCTTATTTTATTACAACTATATCTACTTTAGCTGATACTGTTTTATATTGTTTTATTTGTGAATGCTATCAAAAACAAATGATTGATGAAAATCCTTTAAAAAAAATATTTACACCTATTCTTTTAAGAGATTTAATATTAGATATATATGATGAATATAACTCTAACTTATAAATATGTCTAGTCATTTTCATTTTTTTAATTTTTTTTTTTTTTTTTTTTTGTTTTTTTTATGTTATACATTCTTAACATGCATCTATACATATATCTATATATTTATATAATTATTTTTATATTTTTTTAAAATATTAAAAGCTTTAAAAATTTTATACCCATTTCCGTATTTTAATTTTTGTCAAATTTTTAGTAGTATTTGTATAATTATTACAACATTGAAGTATATATATTTTTTTATTTGTTTTAAATAATATATTTTTTATATTTTCATTTTTATATTTCGTATCTTTATTTCATTTTTTTTTTTTTTTTTTTTTTTTTTTTTTTTTTTTTTTTTTTTTTTTTTTTTTTTTTTTTTTTTTTTTATATATATATATACTTATAATACCTTACAATTTTTATTATTTATTCATAAAAAATAAAATAAATTGAATAATATAAAATTAATGAAAAAAGTTAATATATAAAATAGTATTATAACTTCATTTTTAAATGAAAATTAAAGAATTCAAAATGTGTATATCTTCTTTATTTCTCTTATTTTTTTTTTTTTAATAATCATAAAAAAAGTAGACATTTAATAAATATATAATTTATCTCTATATTTTATTAATAAATTTTAATCTTAAAAAGAAAAATTATATAAAAATGTAAAGTCTTAACATTTGTTTATAACTTATTTATTTTTTTTTTTTTCTTATTTGTGTAATTACACAGAAACAAAAATAATAATCAATATTTTTTCTTTAAATTAGTCAAAAAAAAAAAAAAAAAATAAAAATAAAAATGATGTAATTAAAAAAAAAAAAAAAGTTTTAATATTTTAATTTTATCATGTAATATAAAATACGTTATATATTTTACTTAAAATATAAAAATTTTTCTTTTCTAAAAAAAAAAAAAAAAAAGATAAATTCAAAACAATTAAAAAAAAAAAAAAAGGAAATTTTTAATATGAATATTTACAAAATCAATAATTTTTAAATGGAAGTAGAATGAAATAAATAAATATATTTACGTATAATAAACATTATCATAAATAAAATTTTAAAACAATGTAAAATTAAAAAAAATTGGAAATAAAATGATAAATGCTACTATTAAAAGAAAAATACTAAAATATAAAATTTTCTGTTTAATCATTGCATTATATTTTTTTGCTTCAATTATATTTATGAGAGCATCTTCAGTATATTCTCTTACTTGAAAAACGTTATTTTCAATATTATTAATTACATTTTTTCTTTTTTTTATAACATATGCTAATTCAATATATAATTCATTCAATGATAATATGCTTTTTTCAAGATTTTTTAATTCATTATATTTTTCTTTTATTTTTTCTATTTCTATTTGTTCTACATTAGTAGAGTAAATATCACTATTTTGATAAGTTTTATTCATATTTAAGAAATCTTCTATACTATGATTATTTTGTTTTATTAATTTATGTATTTTGTGATCACTTAAGTTTGGATGTATTAATTTATAATGTTTAATTATATTTTTATTCACATATTCGTAATATTGATTGCATATATTTTTATATTTATTTATGCAACCTTTGTATTTATTTACCACATCAATAAATATATTTATTCGTAATTTAATTTCACTAATCATATTGCTACTTTTTTCAAATTCATTATTTTCCTTATTTAAGTCATTAATTTTTATTTTTATATATTCAATTATTTTTTCTGAATCATTTATTATTAAATTCACTTTTTTATATAACTTTTCATTATCATAAATATTTAAATCTATTTTTTTTTTTATAACATTTATTTTATCAATATTTTTATAAATATTAGAAATATTTATATTTATATCATTTACATTCAGTAAATATGTGTTTAATGTATTTTCATTTTGAAATAGAGGAGTATTTTCACATATATTCTTTTCAATATCTTCAAACATATCTGATTCATTTGTTTTATTATCATTTATTATTTTACTAAAAATATTTATTTTTTCAATATTTAAATCGTCATCAACTGTACAATTAGTTGATGCATCACAAAAATTATAATTGTCATCATCTTTTGAAGTATTTTTTTTTTTTTTTTTTTTTTCCTTTTCTTCTTTTTCTTCTCTTTTTTTTTCACTTAATGAAATTATCTCATTTAAAATATCTTCCATTTTATTATTAATTAAAAAAAAAATAATAATAATAAATAATCTATTTTCAGTAATATTTTTAATTTTTACATTTATAAAAAAAATTATTAAATTAATAAAGTATAAAAAAAAAAAAAATACAAAAAATAAGTTTTTCAAAAAAAAAGAAAAAAAAAATTCTAATAGAAAAATTAGATAGTTTACATTTTTTTTTTTTTTGTATGTAAAATATAAAAAAAAAAAAAAAAAAAAAAAAAAAAAAT